AGTTTACACCCTTTACCCCGCCACCCGTGGATCCCGTCGTTCATAATACCAGGCGATGGAAGCACGAGGGACCTTGGCTTCCTGGTATGGGCGCCGAGGACTTCATCTCTTTTCTTACCAAAAAGCTTGCAGGCCGCAAGAAGGAGTTCAATGACTACCTAGTCGAGTATGTCAAGAACAAGATATACGACACTCGTCGTCTTGCCGCTTCCAGATCCGGCGAATTAGCACCAATAGACGCCCAAGAAGCTGAAGTCTGGCAAGAGCAACGAGAAAAGGCCTGGCGTCACATCACAAAACCTGAGATTGATGCTGGTATCAAGGCGCTGAGGCAAGAGACTGCAAAGGATCCACTAAGCAGCAAGCTCGTCAGCAAGTTGATACTTCCCTTCTTGAAGCTCCCAGCCATCAGATTCAAGCACACAGCATACAATCCGGACGCTGCCAAGAACGAAGTCGATCAGTACCAATTCGACCAAGAAACCGCGCCCCTCTCCACCCACCCTTCAGCCGGACTCGGCTATCTTCGTCACAAGTCATACCTCGCCAATCACCCCATCCTCGGTCCCCAAGAAAACCCTGCCCCGATACCTGCTCGTGTCATGCAAGCCAGACGCACAGGCACAAAGAACGAGCTCTACGCCCGTCTGGGAGTAGGCGGCTTCGTAGCAAACGATGACCACAGCGGCACAACTTCATACACTGTTCCCAGGAACTATGCGGCTGCCAAGGACGTCGAGACAATTGATGTGGACACACCTGGTGGCAGGAAGATTATGGTGCAACCCCAATTTGGTAGCGTCACCAACGACGGGCGCATCCAGATCAAACTGAAGCGATCCGTTGGCCAGGAGGTTGCTGTTGGCAGAGGCGAATTCGACGAGAAGCCGCCAGCAAGACCGTATGCTGAAAAGGTTTCCTTCAGAAATTTGGTCGGTGGAGCAAAGAAGAGTGGGATCAAGGAGCTGGATGAGCAGAGTGAGCAAGGTCAGCAGTTCAGTGAGTTCCTGGAGAGCACGAAGCCTCAGGGACATGCGCAGCCGCCGAAGGGTTTCCCTGGGATGGCTGAGGCGTTGCGAGGGGACTAGATAGTACAACAGTTTTGTATTATACTGCACACATTGTATTGTATGAAATGAACATGAGATATCTACATACCTCTCGTCGTTGGCTTTTCAGTCACAAGTCTCGCCAGCTATACTCAGAAAAACGTGTCTATTTGAGCCTTACTAGACATCGAGATCCCAAGTCTTGTACGGGACCCAACCCGACTCCAATCTCACGCAACACGACATGATCAAGTGCAACTAGAGCGAAGAATCTTCCGGATACCAACGCGACGGGGCAGGCAATAACCCAGTGTGAGTACCTCCATTGAAAGATCATGAGTCCGCGCTAGTGGCGAGAGTAGTTGCCTACATTCTGAGACATCTGGCAGGCTCCGACTTCGGCTTGGCAGAACATGATATCGAAGGAGGTCGGAGGTGCCGAGGATGTAGAGTTGTACTGCCGTGCCGCCTATTGTAGCTCCTAGAGCGGACATGATAGCGAGAAAATCCCAAGTCTTTGTTTCAACGTGAGACAGGTGGTAGGCTGGGGCCTATTCGACTTGCTCTGATGTGGACCTAATGTTGGGAGTGGCATGTGATCGTGCCCATGCCGTTCGCAAGCATTGCACTTGATTCTGATCTTACCGTCCATGATTTCGACTTCTAGTTCGGTAAAATCTCGCCATGCTTGGCAACTCATTGCAACACACCGTTCAACAGATGTTTCCTCCAAGCTCGGTTCCAGCGATGGAACCTGATCTATTCATACCTAACTTTTGGCCTAAGCAAGTCATTCAGCTGCTATCGTACCCATGTAACAAAGCTTGTTGCTCCTGTGTAAGGCTGTGGTTGGTTCTCAGTGGCGATGGGGCCGAAACCTGGTAGTGGCATACGTTCTGCTTACAGGTAGACCAGGCAACCCGGGACGGCGCGTAGATGGTTCCTGTGAGACGTGAGAAGAAACGTGGCTTAGTTTTGATGGAAGTGTCGGATAGACTTGCTTATGAGACATCAGCAAGATGGAGTTAACACTGCAATGGGCTGTTTGTCCGAACTCGATTACCTTAATCAGCACATCCGAACAGTAAAGAGACAGTGAGACGCTTCCGCCCCGTACCCTTCGCTTCCCACATGTTGGTAAGTGTAGCGCTGCCAAGCGATACGTTTCAGCAGCAGTGCGATCATTCTCGAGTGCGAGGTCGCTTCTCAGTAGGGTGTAGTCTTCAGCACTGCAGCGATGACATCGGCTGGACAGACTAAATTTTACCTACATGTACGCAATGTACAAGCAGGCGGTGAGCTCTCGTAGCTCTCAAGTTCGCAGCGGTTCTTCAGCCACCGATAGCGTGGACAAAGTTTGAAGAAAGTAAATTTTCGCGTGTGGAAGCCGTCATGGAGGCTGAGCAGCTATGTGACACTGATAGCGGATTGGCGATATGGTGTGGCACAGCACGCCTGAGGCCATTGTCGGCCTAGTCTGTTGAGGCGTCGTGGCTGAGGTAGTAATATCGGTGGACGTTGAGTGCACCATGGAGATTAGCCGGTACGCCGTTCGTGAAAAGACGGTGGAATGAAATCCTCGTGACAGTGGGACCTGTTAGCCGGAAGAGCATCTGGCAAGCAACGTGAAAGGTGCGATATCCGAACAGTACCGAGTCTTTCAAGCTCATGGTAACGCCTTGTGAAGACTGGCATGTGCATAGTACACGCTCCAATTCTGCCAATTACAACCCAATCTTACCCCGTCATCCATTGCTTCGTCCGCGGATGAAAGAGCGCGCGAGACCAACGCCGAAGTGTGGCTGCTCGATGTGTGGCCATGCGCACCTTCATCAGGCCAGTTCCCTTTTGGGATCCGTTAACGCAAATAGCGGTGTCGCAGATTGAGGGAGCGGCTCGTCTCCTAGCCACTTGGTAGTTACTCGCCAGTCGAAGGATTCAACCCCCAAAGTATCAGAAAGGTGACGGAAAGCGCAACTCTTACGGCTGGTGGCTGAGGCTGTGAAGCGATGGAAAGGCCAGGGGCCAGGGGGGTGCCACCAAACGGCTCGCAAGCAGCATGCATCGGATGACCGCCACATCCGGCAAACAAAGATGTTTGTGGGACTGTCGCATTCACGCTGACGGCGGTGGAAATTTGTAAGGAGGTCAATCTGTTGTTGCGGTCGGTCAATTGCAGCCTCTCGGTGCTACCTCAAGTGCTACGAGTTGGCGCTAATTGAGGGTTGGAAGAAGGCGCTGACGAAGACTCACCTCCCGCGGGCAGGTGCGACGCACACTGTCGAATGCTCTTTCCCGACTTCGGCTGGGTCAAGGCAGCAAGGTGGCCACGAGCTCACATGCTCAGCAATTCGCCTCCCCGCCCTCATCAATGATGCGCATCAGGCCATTCGTGAGCACCTCTTGCGCGATTCTGCAAGAAATGCAAGAAAACTAGCGACGCGCAATATAATCGCGGTGTCGAAGTTTGAGAACGCGACGCATGAGGCCTGTATGCGAACGATGCGTCCGCTGCTCGCGTGCAGCGTGGGTGCATCCCGTCTCCCTTTAGCGCCCGCCGCAACGTGATGCCCCACAGCCAGTTGAGCGGCCAAGCACCCTTCCCTCTATCCATATCACTACTCGAGGCAAAGCAATATGGTCGGGCATTGGGCGCCGATCAGCAAAATGCCCGGCTTCTGGTGCCTGGCATGGAGGCCCGCCTGCCTCACGACACGGGAATGACTGCATAGCCCCTACCATCATTCGCCAGTCTTTCAGCTGAGAGCTGGCGATCCGGATTTCTTTCATCGCTAACAGCACTAGCACGGCCTCTATGTCTTCATCAAAGGAGGATGTCATCAGGCGAAGTCACTAAAACCGAGCTTGAGGGATGGTGACGGGGAGGACGGGGTGCGCTCGAGCACCGGCAGTTTATTGCTGCCCATCGAGTCTGAGACAGGTTGTGCGGCCGCGCGGATGCGCAAACCGGCTACCAGTTGCGACAATTTTTCCAATTCCCCAATTGCATCGGGTCAGTCTCCCTCTTCATCACCCTCAGGCACAGGGCACCGGTCAGAACCACGGCCCACTCGCGGCTGGGCGGTGTCTTCGGTCGCTCGCAGGCTGTGCAATTCACCGCTGCGCAGCCCTAAGGAATGGCCCCAAAGACGCCCGGATCATGTTCATGCATTCCGTCCTGCCTGCCGCTGCGGCCGCCTGGCACTGGCACTTTTTTTCTGCCCGCCCGTTTCGGTCATCTGTGGTAAATCTGCTCCTTGTCCACTCATTGTGCACTTTTCCAGGCTACAACCTGCGCCGCCTTGCACTTAAAAGGAACCCTCGCCCAGTAGGGCTGCACTTTACTTTCCTCGAAGCTGCATAGCTCCCTGCACATGATCCTCTCTATTATTACCCCTTCGCCGCTCTGACTCTTTCGCTTTTCGGCCCATGTGTCCTTGAATCTACGAGTACACTCATCCTACTTGCCGCTTGTCTTAGTCGGGCCGTCACCTGTTCCTCAAATACCCTCAGTCTCCCCAATATCGCCAAAACATCCAAACTACGCAAATCGACCCGTATCCTGATCAGTTTACACTTTGTGTGATCTGGATACACACGTCATCAAGACATCCTTACCGTCCGGTACTTCCATATCTGCCTATCCCCCGACGGGTTCATTACCCCGGATAAGCTGGTTTGACATCATACTTCACCGAGAGCATCCAGCCCAAGACTAAAGCTTGAGGCAAGGTGTTCTATTATCATCCTCGCCTCTAGGATATCTATCAACTCCGACTTAACCCATTACACATCGCCATCATGTGTCGGATCGAGGAGCGCGAGGAGTTCACCCCTGATGGGCGACCCCTGACATCTACGCGAGCCTGCCTTTGTGCGAAAGCACGTGGTGATAGACCATGCCGAGACGCAATCGTCGTGCCCATTCGATACATTCCTAGAAATGGCTCCATGGGCACACCGTCTCCGACGAATCCACCAACTCCCACCACTTCAACATACTTGGTTCAAACACGTCGTCCGTCTGGCAGTGGTAGCCGTCCCTCAACTCGGGATGGCCAACGACCGATCAGCAGCGAGATCTTCATACAGGTTGGCTCAAAGAAAGATAACAAAGGCAAGAAATACCCATTACTTTCGGTCTCTACCAAGCCCTACGATCGGTCTTCACTCGGCTCTGTTGGATCTCGTGATATCGCTGTTGATTCAGTAGGCTCTGATGCCTCCTACACCTACCGAACTGGTTTCCCGGAAGCCCCCTTGCCTCCACCAGCGTCCTTCGATCATCACAGCAGCTACCTTACAACTCCTACTGCACCATACGGTCAAAGCTCTCGCCATGTTCCGTCAGCGTCTTCCAGTCAGACACCCTCGCTTTACGTCGCGTCGGACGCAGAGTACGACCCACCGGCTAGGCAGCGAAGTACAAAACGCTCTTCCACGGTGATTCACAACCCACCTACTGCTGTTCCGTCCTCGCCGCCTCAGCGTCAGGGTGGTATGTCATCTGATCCATACCGGACGGCCAGGGTTGCTCCACGAGAGACGTACACATCAGACCGCCCACATCCACTCGACTACGACGCCTTTGCTGATCACTCGAGCTCGTCTTACACTAGCTCGGGCCCACCTGAAGGCGCTCGTCGCACCAAGACTGGCGACGAGCGACAAAGGCAGTCCAAGTCAGGTCGGCATCAAGAAGAGTCTGACCGACGGGTGGCTGATGAGCGTGACAGAGAAGATACTGCCAGACGCGTACATTTCGAACCCGCCCGTGCAGACGGCCGCGCGAATGAGAGGGCAGAAAAGCTCTTCGCTGAGAAGGAGAAAGATCGAGCGTTGGCCAGGGAAGAACTTCGTCGTGTTAAGGAGGAAGAACGCCTCAGACAAGAGAGGAAGGACTTGGAAGCCAAGAAGGCCCAAGATCGTAAGAAGGAGAAATCAAGCCCTCCAACGATCGACTATACGAAGAAGCGGCCGAACGCATCACGCAGACAATCCTCCTCTATGACGTCAGCTGAGCTAGCAGATCAACGACGCTTGATCAAAGCCGAGGAACAACAGATGCGGAGCGAAAGGCAGATTGCAGAGGCCAGGGAGCGAGAGGAGGAGCTGGCAGCCCGTAAAAACCAACAAGAGAAGCCGGCTGCATACTGGGACCCGCGTGGCGGCGATCGTTCCCTCTCCACACGCCGCGAGTCGATGGCTCGCCACGACAGTCTTACCTCTAACACGCGTCCCGCTGGATTGACTCGCACTCCCAGCAAGCGCCGTCCAAGTGTCTCGCAGCCAAGCCCTCCAGTGCTCGATACTCAGGTGCCTACAGAGTCTTACAGGCCTTCCAGCTCGAGGAAACGCGCGCCTCCGCCGCTATCCTTCCCAGCGAACTTCAACCAAGATTACGCTCGGCCGCCATCTGCTAGGCGTCCATCCATCAGTCAAGACAACCCGTTCGCAGCAGCCACAATGATGTCGCCGCAGTCAGCATCGCAAGACCCATGGGATCTGCGCACCGTCGAGGGTTCACTTCCATCTGCCCGACCTCTAGGCGATGGTCGTCGTCCATCCATGCAATCTCGCTATGTCGATGCCTTTGCAACAGACTCTGAAAGCCCGGATGATCACCCGCCTGTATACGCATCGCGCACCGGTTTGAGTCGTAAAGGATCAAAGAGGAAGCACTGAGCTTCATGTCACTTTGTATTTCTCGGGTCATGCGTCTGCAACTGTTTATTGCTTTTGCTTCCTGCTGTTGGAGTTCAGTATGCGTCTGTTCTTGTTATGATACCCTTCTACCAGCACTGTTATATACGCCACCCGTCCTGTACCCTGATTAGACATATACCCTTGTTTCCCTGCGCATGTATCGTATTTATTGGAAATGACAAGTGTATGGCATATCACGAAAACATCTCTACGAAACACTCATCATTCTTAGCAAGTGCTGCCTGTAGCTACGTGTTCAGCAGACTCGACTGCCACCTACGTACTGTCCCTGCACTATCTAGGCTTCCCGCATTCTGGGCAAGTTTGGTTCGGCGTCCAGAGTTCCGCCTTCGGAGGTGGTGTCTCCTGGTAAGGATCAACCGGTATGTCTAACTCGGCGTCAACCCCAAGCCTGAAGGTCTTGTAGGGTGGAGCATTAGGGTTTTGTCCCTTCCATTCATTAACCTGGTCGGTTATCTCGTTTCTGAGGCGCTCAAGCAGGTACAGGTAGCGGCGATGCTCCTGGAAAGAGGCGGGAACGCTGGTGTCGAACGCTTTGATGGCTTGAGAAAGCTTGTTGATGACGGCGGCCTTCTCCGGTGGGTAGCTGAGGTTTTTGGATGCCATGTTATGGCGCTGAGTGACGAGCAGAATGATCTTGATGGTGCTCTGATGCTTCTCATTCTGCACTGATATACTGGACTTGTTTGCTGCGAGCAAGTTCCTTCACGATGTGGCACGTAAAACAATCAGCATACTGATGTCCATCATGATGCCAAGCTTGCGCGATTGATCACCGCAATTCATATGTCAGTCTTCAAGCTCATATCCCTGTCTCCTTCTTTGAATAGGTGAGCCAGTCATCGCTTTGGGCATAAAGCATGGCTTCAGTAGAGTGGAACGCATGTAAGTGACTGAATTGTTGAATACAGGGCTCTTCATTAACCTTTCATTTGATAATCGTATGGCACTCGTAACCCATACTCAAGCCATTAACTACACCCCACCCAGGGAATATCGCGTCACCAATTGCTTTCATTCTCTCTGTAGTTGCGCAACATCACTGGACGGCCTCATATCGTCCTTCTTCTTCCTCTCGATCTACTTCTGCTGCTACTACGAGATAGATAATTCCCATCTTCTTCTGTCCCTGTGTCCTGACTGGCTACCTGGTAGGGATGATCTTCTGATTCTGGTATACCAAGCTCGGCATCAACGTCGCACCAGACTTGGGAATCAGAAATTGGGCTTTCTACGTCTTCAATCAACCACCATCCGATAGGTATGTCTATCTCGCTTTTCAGACGCAAACAGAGATACAGAAGCCTGCGCTGCTGGAATAGCGTCATTGCCGTGCTTGGTTGGATAGCGGCGATGGCAGTGTGTATCTTTTGGATCGTGGGAATATCGGCGCTCATGAGCGTACGTCTCTCTTCTTCCGTCATGGCTGAGTCAATTGTGTTAAAGAAGTTGCTGTCGTAAGAAATATAACATGCTTATAAGTTCTGAACGTGGACGAGCGTCGCGAATGGTTTGTGCAAACACTAGTGTTTCCATGGCGCAGATGAGACACCCGACCTGGTCACTTGCGTTGTAGGCACAGCATTGCCACGTCGAAAGCATTGCGCTTCACACGAAAGTGAGCTATGGCTTTGAGATAAACCCATTTCATTAGTATCCTATGAGATCTAGTCTAGCACGGATATCCAAATCGATGACCGCCCTGCACTCGTCTCACCAGCGCGTTCCCAATCATCTAGCTATGTATCAGGCGACCTGGCCGTGCTAATCCGCACGAGCGACGACCACGGGTCAAATCTTATTCATCCTTGCTCTCAACAACCTGAGACAGCGAGCCCTTCACAGGAACGTAGTTGAAGGCCTCATCAGATCGCTGGCGACGTGGCGGAAGCGAGAAGCTGATCTGAGAGTGCGGCGCGGAGAAAGGAGCGCGAGTAACGGGGGTAGACTGTCCGAACTCCTGAAGCTTCTTCTCGAGGTACTCGATGCGGTCGTCTTGTTCTTGAGTGTGGTGCATCTGCTGCTGGTACATGCTAGACATGTAGTCGTGCTCGTTGCATAGGCGGTCGAATTTCATAGCGGCGTAGTTGATGTCGTTACGAAGGCGAAGGTTCTCGCGATTGAACTCGTGCTTTACGCTCGCGACGTGACGGCGATGGGCTTCACTGAGATCGCGAAGCTGTTTCTCGTGTACGCCGCCAACGTCGTTTGTGAGGAATTTGGTGAGCGCCTTGCCAGTGGATAGACGTGCGAGAAGCGCGATCGCGACTGCGACAAAGACACCGATCAAGAGGATGATCTCGCGATCACGGATGAGTTCAGTCTGGAGCTGTTAGTATGAGACCTGGGTTAATGCTTCAAATTGACGTACTGTAGACCAAACTGCGCAGAGTAGACCAAAGATGCTTGAGCACAGGAAGAAGGCTAGGAATTCGAAGTTGTTGAGCTCCATTGTGATGTTGTCTTGAGTGAGTCAGTTGTTGAGCGGAACGACGTCCGAGCCGCATCGCAGTCAGTTTGATACACACTTGGCTTGGCAGTCTAGCTGATTCCACGAGTGGAGTCAGCTGGGATGAAGCAACACTTCATGCTGGCAAGATGTTACGATGATGTCTTATAGCTTCAACTTATTACGGTAGAATGTTGATGCAGAGCAGGGCAACAAAACGCGGTCTAGTAACTCTATATAGTGATCCTAATGTTAGTGTATTTCCCAAACACCTTATATTCGCTCTAATGCAGCAGTAGGATAGCTTCAACTTATTGTCGGATCAAAACAACAATACGATGACATATTAACATCCTTTGCAAGCTCCACAATGTAGCTTGTTTCGAAACACGAACATCTACTGGAAGATGCCTCGGTTGTATGGCCTGAATTCTGCATTCAGATATGTATGTATTAGATGGCTATATACCGACAGTATGACTATTTACAGGAAAGTGACTATGAGTACACTGAAGCATGCAGAATATGGCAACCACGTAGGTAAATCGGACATGATGCATGGAACGCCGTTTTTGAACCCATATGCAGACCCCAAGGTACCTAAAGAACGCCTTAGCCATGCAGTAATGATTCTTGAAAATGAGCTTGCGAAGCCCGTCGATGACACGCTAAACAATTCAGGAAAGATCCATGGGTTCGGCGGCACTGTTACCGGCACCAGTTGATTCGCGACCACGCTGGTCCTTGATTGTTGGGACAGCAGGTTGCGCGAAACTGTTTTGTGCAGACGGAGCAGGAACGTTGATGCCAGTATTTGCGTGGTCGGTGCGAACCTGTGGAGGCGCGACGTAACCCATGTGAGGCTGGGCGTAGATTGGAGGAGTCGCTGGGCCAGAAGAGTTGCGCGGCGGCTTTCGACCACCGATGCGCTGAGCTCGGGGAGCCGGGAAGCAAGCATTCTTGACACGGGTCTGGAACTCTTGAGCGAAGTTGTCGTAGGGCTTCTTGTCCTCGGATGTCTTCCAGCCCATCTTGTTCTTCATGCACTCAGCCTTGCGGTGACTAATCGTGGAACCTTCAATGCGAATGCCATTGGCCTCAAAGCGACGACAGCAGTCAGAACGCGACAGGATGAGCAGAATAACGAGAAGGCTGACGTTGTCGTTGTCGAGAAGATGAGGACAAAAATCGCAGACATTACATGCGAAGCGGCGCATGTCTTCTAGTTCCTTGGTATCGGTGCAGTTGACAAAGCGCTCAGCCATTGAGAACGGTCTAACCATGTCCCTACAGATATGGTTCTGAAGGACATTGGCGACTGAAGATACAGAAACTGGATAGATGCTACTGCGGTCGATCTTGCTTGTAGCAGATGACGAGACCGTGCCGGCGATGTAGACAATCTCAATATCGTCGAACGGGCCCCGATCGAGTTTGATGTCCTTGAGTGTCTTGCCTTCCTTTTGAGCCTCTTTGTAAGTCTCGGCGTTCTTGATACCAGCCTCGCGAGCCGCCTTGACAGCCTCACGAGGTGTGGTAAAGCCATACTCCTTGGCGAGAGCTACGGAATCTTCGTGCATCTCAAACTTGGAAAGCTTACGCTCAACATCAGGAGCGCGTATCCAGTCCTCGGACCAGGGTTCTTCTGCGAGGACTTTGTAGAAGACCTTGGTAAGGGCGCGAAGCTTGATCTCAAGATCAGTCATCATACGCCGGCCGAAATACAGTTCATCGGTCTCAAAGAAGGCATTCTCGATAAAGGTCTTTCGATCCTTCTGAGTTAGCTGGCCGCGAGATGGATCATTCTTCCATTCTTGGATGATGTGCATGAACTTGGCGTGGAAGATGTCATCGAAATGTTTTGATGCAGGTATAGCATTCGCTGTACGGCACGTTAGTTCATGGTCAAGAGATGTTTCCACAGTTTACACGTACAAGTCGGTGTGTGGGGCTGTTGTGGCGGCGAAGGTGAGGTAACAGCGGTCTGGCTGATCGCGGCAGGTGACATAGTGATCCAAGCGCGATATATGACCTGATATACCGAAAGAAGTAAATTGTCTACTTGTGGATCAGTATGGATGAGAACGGAAACAGATCTCGATGGATTTCGATGGGGTTGTAAGGTGAGGTTCGTGGCCGGGTCAAAAGGTTGCGGGGTGGTTGGGTTGTCGGAGCGTGAGGGCGGTAGGCAAAAACATTCACGCTCGCGTCGCTAGCGTGCCAAGTAAATTCGGGGTGAGCATTGGAAAGACACGTGACCCACATGACTCGGCCCCAACAAGCTTGGAACCTCGGGTGAACGTCATAGTTAGCGCTTCCGCTCACAACCTTCTATCAAGACATCTATTGAGTGCTTTATCTTGTCAGTTCCTCTTCTGTTAGCAATAGCTGCGACGCGCTGTTGCGCGCACCGTAGGGGGGTTGTTAGAGGTAGAATATTATAAGAATACTTAAATTTTCTAAGATAGCTTTTACAGTGTAATAAGTCTCTATTTTTTATTTATTAAGTAAAAGCTATTAGAGGCGTAATTACTAATAGAGAGCTGTTAGAAGTATAATTAATATTAAATTTTAAGCCTATTAAGAAATTAGGTAGTACTTTCTATCTTAATATAGAAAGGTAGTAATATTACTACTACTACTATAATAGTAGTACTAAGAATATTAATAATAATAGAAGAGACGTTAGAAGTAGAGTAGTTTTATATATACTAACGCGCTATACTTTCTAAGTATACTTATAGTTAAATTTAGTAAATATTTACTTATTAAGAACTCTCTATATAGGTAATTCTTAGTATACTTTACTAGAATCTTCTAGAATTTAATATAAAAGTAGTTAGAAGTAACTTCTATTACCTCTAATAAGCGTAGTAATAGTATCTTTTAAGTTACCTAACAGCGCGTAAAAGCTATTATCTTATATTATAATATTACTAATAATATCTTCTTATTAGCTAAATATTAGATAATAGGCCTCTAATAGCACATTAAAGACGCGACAGCCTATTACACCCCTATTAACCCCCTGGTGCTGCGCGCTACGGCGTTATACGTTCCTGCACCGCATCGCTGCGCGTTGGTATGCGCCCGGGGTGCGCTTGAGTGACGAACCCCTTCCTGTCGCGTTCCTGCAGTATCATCCTCATTTCATCTGCGCTCAGTACGCTCGTCTCGATCCAGAGTTACATGTCATCATTGCGAAAATATTGATTTAAATATGTATGGGTTACAGCACGCTGGTCCTCTTCGCCATCTAGGGAAGTCATCGCTTCCGGCTTTGGTTGCCTTACGTGCCACATGCCTGGGAACAGCAGCAGCACATGCCTTCTAGAAAACACATCTTCTCTGGAGCGATCTCGGTTATTCTGATAGCCTGAAAGAATCATGCTTCCGTTGGATCGCAATGGTATCCTTTCCAGAAGGACACTCAGGGTATACGCGAGAACCTAGATGACAAAATTGGAGCTGAAAGCACTGGGCCTCCTTTTATCAATCGTGCCGTTACATTGTTCAAGAGTTTGTATCCATGGTGACGCTGAGACCTGGTTTGCGCCGAGTTAATGGCATTCAAAAGTCTTTCAAGGCACGGGAGACGCTACTTTGATGGGCGTTTGACAGTGAAGGAGACAGTAGCAACGAAGAGATATTTCCACAACTAGCTTTTATCACCACGCGAAAAGTCCCTGCCTCGCAAGCAACTTCGTTCCACTTTCTACGTTAACGGCACACCACCATCGACCCAATACGACATGAAGCTGATCAAAAGTCGAGACAGGCGTTCCCAAGCCACAGCTGCGACGCCATGCCACTTGCTTGCACTACCAGCGGAGATACGCTTGCTCATATACAGCCACATGGAACCCGATAGCTTCCTACCAAACGCGCCCTACAAGACATACATTGGGCTCATGCTCTCCTGCCCCCAGATCTACAACGAGATGACCTCCGAAGCCGTCCGCATGGCCCCTTCCATCCTACGCACGATCCAGTTCTCCGTCAACGCAACGCCAATGAAGCTTCAACCGCTCCGGCCGACGAGCTTCGCCTCGCTGATGCACCTCACGATCGGAATACCGCGCTGGGCAATGCTCGATCGGCCTACTATAATGGGCATTCTGCAAGCCATGGCACCAGTACTAGAGCTTCACCTGGCCAGACTGACCATCGGATTAGAAGACCTAGAAGGCGAAGACGATGTCTTGCAGATGGTCGAGACACTGAATCCGGCACAAATCGCGCGTTACATGAGCCAAGTACAGGACATGCCCGCACCCCTCTATCCTCCAAGCGATTCTGTGGCATCTGACCATTATCGCATCCGAACAACATACAGCAATGTCATTGGACTCGTCACAGCAATGAATTGTCTCATAGCTCCAGGAATGTGTAATGGAAAGCATGCCCCAGCCAACCACTGGTGTCTTCGGGCTTCAGTTCTTAACCCACCATTTCCAACGACGACATGTAACGTTCGGAAGATTGCTTTCCGCTTGAAAAGGCTCCATGATGAGAAGGTATGTGGGTGTGGTCGACTTCCCGCTCACTTCCCTCATCTGGTGTATCCGTTTCGCGGGTCGAGCTACAGGTGGGAACTGATGCTTGAAAACCCGTCGTTGGAAAAGGAGCGATGGATGGTTCACTGGAGGGATGACAAGGGCAAGTTGCCCTGGTCTTTGAAGGGGAAACCAGGGCTATATGTATGGGTGAAGTTGAAAGAGAAGCGAGAGAGCCGGTTGGAGAGGGCTGTGAAAAGCTTGTTCAGGCAGACCTAGTTGAAGGCGGGGCTATGTAAGTACTCTCCAGGTTCGCAAGTGCTAGGTCTTGCAATTAGTTCCAAAATCATCATGATCATGGCATGTATGCATATATGGCATGGATTCAAGAATCATGATGTTACAGTGCGCGTCATGCCAAAACCATAGCTCTCACTAGATGCATTCGAAAGTTCTACGTGTAACATGCACCTACCCGACGGCTACCACATCGAGCATCCACAAACAGAATGAACATGCGTTTGTGTGACCCGCTTCCAGATCCTTCCCCATCCAGTTGATAAGACCACGTTCATAGTCCTTAAAACACGGGGGACTTACCACTCCACTACTTCCAAATCCCCAAGACTACTCAGCTATCTCTACAAATCACCAGACAGAAGACTATAATGGCTCTATCCAGTCCAAAGATAGCCGGCATCGTTGTAGGGGTCTTCTTCGTAGTACCCCTCATCATGATCGCCCTCTACTACTCCTTTGATCGTCTTCGCAAGCAAAACGGCACAGCCAAAGCAACAACACCGTCATCTCCTACTGGCTCTGGTACCCCAACGCCACCTCCAAAACAGTATTCGGGCAATCAAAGGCGCGCTGTCAAACAGGACTTGCAGCCTCAGCAAGAGCATTCACGTCCAAGCCTAGAATATGGACCTGGCCCAACTTGGGTCGCAGCACCCGAGCCCGAGACGTATCCATTCGACACAATTAGAGCAGTGCCAGCGACGCCCAAGACTTCCTCCACGAGTGCCATGCGGCCTGTTACTGCGGAGTCGGAAAAGCGGAGTAGTCTGCATCAGGCGGTCTTGGGTGCGGGCACAAGTCGCGGTCGGAAGAACAACAGCGATGTCACAAAGGAAGCCGATAAGAATGCTAGAGCTGAGGACGTGGAGGACTACTACGTCGCTGGCGGTAGTAGTGGCAGACAGAAAACATACACCGGAGCGTGGCCTTGAACGGTGTGGTGATGTCGACAATGTTCTGGGGATGTTTTCGTTGGTGGTTTCTTGAAGCAGAATTGGGTTCCATGCGGCATAGACTAAATTCATCGAGCCTTGATACACTCAACATACTACACATAAGGACCAGCATTGGGCGATAGATTGAGATAATGTGTGAATTTGTTCCATCTGAACGGGAAGCTATTGGCATCACGAGGCACATAAGTATCGTTCCCTTTTGATAGTGCTGTTGAGACCGGCAATGGAATTCACTTACCTGAACTTGAGCTATCTCTTTGTTCGTCATCACAACACCATCGCATCACACAGGGAGCATGGACAGGGGAAATGGCAATCAAGCATCATCTTCGTGTCTTGCAACACTCAGACTCAGCGACACCTAGTGGGGGAGAACCTTTTGTTTCATTGACTCCTGATCATCATGCCGCCGTATATAGCCGTAAAACCATGCCATAGTCGTGGCAGAAGAGACCCTTTCCCAGACACCATATTTTCAGTAAGCCGAGAAAGGAGGAAGAAGGGAGACCGTCGTGTCGCGCGTGTGCATTCGTATTTACGAGCGGGCGGGGCGGTCGTTGAAGCGGCGGGGACCGCGCTCGACAATCTGTTGTTGGGAGACGGCAATGACGTTGGTGGGGATGCTGTCGAACTATGGACAGTGTTAGTGAGATGCTTGAGGTAATATGGGTATGGAGTAGCGTACGCCCATGCTCTTGAGCAGGTCCTTGGTCTCCTGGTCGACGTCGAGCGAGCCAGACTCGCTGTTCTGGGTGAAGTCGAGAGCGGAGATCTCGGGGACGTACTGGTCCTTTCGCTCACGCTCCTCTTCTTGGAGCTTGAAGGAAATACCACGGACGGGACCACGCTGGATACGCTTCATCCTGCGAGTTGTTAGCTTGATGCTTGGTGCAAGAGAGCACGCTGCTCAAAGCGGGGCTGCGGTTGGGGCGGTTGAAGAGCTGTCCTCTGAAGTGCCCAAGAGCCTGCGCATAGGCATGGCACAACGCTCCTCTGCGCAGGCCATTCAAGCTTCCAGAACCAGCCCCTCATTGCCATTGTCCCAGCCCCAGTGTCGGTACGTACAAGTGAGTGGTGTATCCGGCAATCTTGTTTCGGAGCCTCTTGGAGGCAATGATGGCGATCTCATCACAGATCCTCTTGTTGGTCTCGAAGTCGAGCGACAACTTGGGGTAGTAACGCTCAATAATGACCTTGGCGGACTTCTTGACGGTCTTAGTTCGGACGCGACCCATTTTGGCGACTTGTTGTGTGAGCTGGGAGAAGAGGTTGTCGTGGGAAGGGGCGGTGGCTGTCGGGTTAGTTGGATTGTCGCTGGAGAGTAGAAATGTCGGGAGGGCAGGCGCGATTATTCGCCTAATCTGTGTGGAGGCCCGTGCACAGGACTCTAGTCACAAAGGGTTTGGCGCCAACGCAGCACATGGGAACTTGCGGCCATCACCAACACCATTCATTGCTCAGGGGATAAACAGTGTCAATCTCGTATGTCATATTGGTATCTCTCGCTCGCTAATTAAAACTGCTGGAAAAGAAGACTGCTCAAAGAAATGCATCACAGATGCTTGCTACATGTAGGAAAACCCGGCCATCCTCCTCGTAGCCCATTTGCAACGAAACTCCACAACACCACCGCTGTGTGAATATCAATTTGAAGTAAGCCCTGTGGCTTTACAGATGCAGCCATCTGAACGTTTTGTTTAGTGGCCACCCTCAGCGCCACCCTCGGCGCTGCCCCCAGAAGCACCGTGGTGTGCAGGGTTGGGGAAGTAGAACGCACATACTGCAATGATGACGTACGTCATCACGCAGAGCACACCCTCCAGGTAGTTCGAGCTTCTGTCGCGGAGGAATGAGCCAACCGCCAGGACCGCCAGAACCAGGGCAACGGCATCGAAGATGGCGAAGTTGTAGTCCATGCCAACACCAATACCCCAACCAACCAGTACCACAAGGGGTGCGTTGAACAGGGCGGTCTGGATAGAGGCACCGAGAACATGGGCAAGGGCCATGTTGATCTGATTGTCATAGGCTTCGTCAATGGCGAGGAGGTGCTCGGCGATCTTCTCAACCAGCGGGATAAGGATAAGTCCGACGAAGGAGTCACTAACTCCTCGCTCTACTATATGCGGGATTTCGAGGACGAGGAAGATAGCGACGAGTGCAACGCAGGCCAGTGAGACGAGAAGAGCAACAATCACTTCGGTCAGGGTAAGCTTGGGCTTAGCCAATTCCTCGTGGCGGTCCTTGTCCTTGTGGTCGTCTGCCTCGTAGATCTCATGGAGCAACCCATCGTGAGATACGGTCTGGTAATACAAGTAGACTAGGTAGCCAACGATGGAGATGATGGCGACACCGCGGGATATCAGTCGAGTGTTATAGGCGATATCAACAGTCTGTTCGTAATCGGGGTTTTGGAAGAGGTATGCGTAGAAGACAGCGGGAAGTACGAGCGCGGCTATTAAGGTTAGCATTGGTACTTTGACGAGCCAAGAGGAGGATCGGCCTACTAGCAGCTACGAGCATCAAGCCACTACCGTTCTCAGAGACAGCACTATGGAACTCTTGGACGTCATGCTTGACACCACCGGCAATGAAACTGGAGCAAATTAGTGAGTGCTTGATCGAGCATCGAACAGACACTTACCAGGTACCAAGGCAGAGGAGCAGGTTGGCCAAGATAGACCCCAATATAGCAGCCTTGATAACCTGCACGTTTGAGTCGCCGTTGGAGGTTTTGAGCAAGACCATGAACAGGATAACTTCGACAACGGAACCGAATGTTGTCTCGAGAACGACAGCAAAGGCCTTGTTTGGCATCTTGCGCGAGAACTCCTGGCCAGCGAAACCGAGCAAGTTGGCTGCAGGAAGCATGGCAATGTAGTTGGTAATGAAGATCGCTAGATGCCATTCGGGCCTCGCAAAGTGCTGTTATAGTCGGTTAGTACAAGAAACATATTCTCTTGTGTGCCGCTTACCAGTGCAATTGCTACAGGTACAATGGGCCATAGGCAGTTCACTAGCATAGACATCGTGCTGCTACTCCTGCCGCTGATGACCAGGAACTTGACCGGGTTGAAACCCCTGCGGCCACTTTCGCCCTCGGGGTGAAGTCCGGGGGTCACCTTGTGTCCATTGTGGTTGTACTGTGGCAGAGACGAGCCGCGCCTGTCACGGCGATCGGAGGGAGGGACGGAGCGTGGCTTCTCGCTGGTATATCCTCGGTCGCGCGACGAGCGGTGCCTTGAGCCGTCGGGGTAGTCTCGCGAGCTTCTCGAGCGGTGCGCCATGGCTTTGGTATACGAAGATTGCCCAAGGGGTGGTTTTTAGGGTGCGCCAAGTGCAAGAGTTGAATGCACTGGCTTGGGTTTCAGGGCGGGCGAACGAGTTGCCCTGCAGCGGTTGCAGTTTGTAATGCCGTAATTGGAGAGGAGTTGATAGAGAGTAAGTGAAAAAGAAAGACAAGAGGGCCGGTGGGACTAGACATTGTAAAAGGGCCGGGCGTCATTTCGGGACGAGTATACTAACTGCTTCCTTGTTTACGAGGTGCAGTTCGCAACGGGGCGGGCGCGTCCACAACACACAGCCTCGACGCTATGATCGCCAAACAACGAAAATGTCGCAGCGCGTTTACACCGTAACTCTGCAGCAGCGCGCGCCGTTCGCAGCCAATTGGTCTTCATTGGTTCTTTTTGGCACCGATTCATGGTAATTCAGTGTCTAGCTAAGCTTATCTTCAGTAGAACACGTCACCAAGCACCGCGCAACGTCCCTGGCAATGCTTGACACGCCTTGGCTGCACTACGATGCGGAGTCCAGAACAAGGTTTCAGCTCCATGCACATTGACGTGGGCCGAGACTCCACATCTCAGGTTTAGCAGCAATAAGGGGAAGGGTCTCGATCTCCGCAATGCACATGCGAGCTATTTGATGGCCACCGACACACTTCGAGCTACCAGAGGTCATTCGCATCGATGGCGCTACATGGAATACAAGCGCTGGTTCCAACGCGTTGGCTACTGACAACCGCATGAACCGTCATCGATCGCAATGTTGAGAAGGGCCGACAGGTTGCTGATGACGATTTAGAGAGGACCGAACGTCTACTGCTGTTGAAACTATGTACTTACACACATCAGTCTGCAGACATTCCATGATGCGATGGGGGAGTTGTTGTTCATCTAGACTTGATTGGTTCCTGGCGGTCCGCATGTATTGTACCTTGCATATGATGAGAGACTAGCAACAGCATGGTAACGCCGGCTGGATGCGCAACTATGCCCTCACGACTTGATCTTCCCTCTGCACATCGCAAAGCTTGACAAGGCTTCAATACATACAAAAAGCCATCATGTATTTGACATATGCTCAAGCAAAAGCAGTCACCTGGTACTGTGCACGGGACAGGCCTTATCGCGAGGCGCGTGTTAGCGGCATGGCAACAGCGACTCATCCATAAACACACAAACAACCCTCTTCCATCCCATCTCGTTTCCAAACCCATCCATCTCCGTAACTCACAACATGGTCTTCTCCTCTGGCTTTGCGCTGTGCGCAGCCATCACAAGCGCGACGGCGCTCCAGATCCCGCTTATGTCGTCCGGCAATCAAGCGCCACTCGGACATCCACATGGGACCAAACCGTTGGTCAACTCGACCGAGCTCCAAGACCTCATCAGTGGGGACAGATTGATGGCACGCGCCAAGAAGATGTACGAGATTGCGAAGCTCGGTGAAGAGGAATACAACCATCCCACCAGAGTCATCGGGAGTGCTGGTACGTTTGCGCACGTGATTTGTTGTACGCTGATGCTGATGAAGTCGCAGGCCACCTCGGAACGCTATCTTACATCTATGAAACTATCCTTCAACTTGGCGACTACTACACAATCACCAATCAAACCTTCCCAGCTGTGTCCGGCAATGTCTTTGAGTCGCGTCTTGTCATTGGCGATGTCGTGCCGAAGTCTGCCCATCCCATGGGCTTAACGCCTCCCACAAAGGACAAAGAGCCTGTACACGGCGACCTCGTTTTTGTTGAGAATGACGGTTGTCAGGCGTCGGATTACCCAGACTCAGTAGCCGGAAACATCGCATTCATCAAACGTGGAGTCTGCCCCTTTGGTACTAAGTCCGAGCATGCAGGTCGCAAAGGCGCTTCTGCTGCCATTGTCTACAACTATGAGAAAGACAGCGTTTCGGGCACCCTCGGAACGCCGTCTCCCGATCATGTAGCTACATTCGGGTTGTCCGGTGAAGAAGCTGAACCAATTTTGAAGAAGCTCGAAAAGGGAAAGCGCGTGGATGCGATCGCCTACATTGACGCTGAAGTGAACACCATTCTGACGGTCAACATCATTGCGCAGACAACGGCTGGCGATCCGGACAACTGCGTCATGCTCGGCGGCCATTCCGACAGTGTCACCGAAGGGCCTGGTATCAACGATGATGGAACAGGCACAATGTCGCTGCTCGAAATTGCTACTCAACTTACCAAGTTCAACGTTACCAACTGTGTGAGGTTTGCATGGTGGGCGGGTGAGGAGGAAGGCCTACTCGGATCCAACTACTATGTCGCCTCTCTGCCCGAGAAGGAGAACCAGAAGATCCGCCTCTTCATGGATTACGATATGATGGCTAGGTAAGCGAAATCACCGTACGCGTGGCGCATGTAATGTGACTAACTTGTACCAGCCCCAACTTCGCCTACCAAATCTACAATGCTACAAACGCGGTGAACCCGAACGGCTCAGAAGAGTTGCGGGATCTGTACATCAAGTGGTACGAGGATCAAGGTCTGAACTACACTTTCATTCCCTTTGATGGCCGCAGCGATTACGACGGCTTCATTCGCAACGGAATCCCCGGTGGTGGCATTGCTACAGGGGCCGAGGGTATCAAGACCGAGGAGGAAGTAGAGATGTTTGGGGGCAAGGCTGGGGACTGGTATGATCCTTGCTACCATCAGCTTTGCGACGATATTTCAAACCTCAACGTCACTGCGTGGGTCGTCAACACCAAGCTCATTTCGCACTCTGTCGCAACGTACGCACGATCTCTCAAAGGTTTCCCGAAGCGAGAGCTTGAGGCTTCGCTCAAGTCTACTGTGTACAGGGAGAAGACGAAGTATCAAGGCTCGAAGTTGTTCATCTAGAGTTGGTTATTTGTAGTCTGGCCTTCCCTTGTTCCAATGTAAAGCTGGGTAGTCTAGCCTGCCTTGACAGATTTATGAAGGAAT